GCAATAGTGATTCTCCGTGGTATCTGACCTCAGCTACTCCTCTTTCTCTGTACTCCAGCCATGCCAGCTTCACAGATATTCCTCAAAAAGGTCAATTTATACCGTGGAGCCTTTGTACTGGGTGTCATCCCTGCCTGAAAGCTCTCCCCAATCTACACTAATAAAAGAGAAACATGCAAATTGGTGTCACTCCGCTACGCCCACCAGCCAATCAGAGCGACTATGCAAATTAACCCAACAAAGATGGCAGTTAATTTGCATACGCAGGCACAAAAGGAAGACTGAAGGCTCTGGCCAGAGTGAAGACTGAAGACTGAAGACTGAAGAGGCTTGGCTTCTCTGCTGCGGCTGGACCAAAGGCCTGGGTCCTGGGTGCCAGAGGAAAACCAGTGCCAGCAGCCAGGGGAAGGAAGGCCTATTGCGCAAATCTTTGTGCAATGGGCTTCTAGTATACAATATACACAAAGCTCAACAATCACTTCAAGGATCACAAAGGAGCCAGGCATCAAGCCCATTTAGTGGGTCATGTCTCCACTTCCCTCCCAACTAATTTGGTGGGCAGAAGGCATTAAAGTTCCCTTCTTTTTCCTGCTTCCCCCTCCCCTCCCATACCCACCTCCTCCATCCCCCAGTAAAGACTAAGGGAGTTGGGTTTGCAAGTAGGGAGATGTCTTCATCTTGAAGTTTCCCTTGACTCTGTTGTGCACAAATGTCCCGGAGCAAGAAGTTGGAAGAGAAGGCAGGAGCTAGTTTTGTAGACACCAGATCTTCAAGGGAAAGAGAGAAAAAATCCTGACGTGTGGAGCACCTACTGAGTGCTCACCTTCACACCCTTGTACAGGAGGTACTAATCTTAGCTCTGTTTCATAAAGGTCACTGAGGATCCTGGACGTTAAGAAACTGGCTCCCAATGACACATGGAGGGGCAGAGCAGAACTCGAATGTAAGTCAGCCTGAATAACACAACAAAGGTCACCAGTTGCCACCTAATGCTCCCCCTTTAGGGAGAGAGGAAGCAGTCTGGGGTGGAATAGGGACAATATTGAAGCAATTGGCCAACTATGAAAAAAGAATTTATTTCTCAATGCATAATTTTTCTATTTAGAAAATTACATGAAAACAATGGGAGCAGAAGTGAAGACACACGTTCCCATCCCCTGGGACTATTGCAGGTGAATATCCAATTGTCCCAGCACCATTTGTTGTAAAGACTAACCTTTCTCCACTGAGTTGCCTTGGCACCTTTGTCAAAATCAATTGACCGTTTATGTGTGCATTTATTTTTGGATTCTCTATTCTGTTCCATGAATCTATTTGTCTGTCTAGATCAGTGATGGCGAACCTATGACACGTGTGTCAGAGGTGACACGCGAACTCATTTTTTTGGTTGATTTTTCTTTGTTAAATGGAATTTAAATATATAAAATAAATATCAAAAATATAAGTCTTTGTTTTACTATGGTTGCAAATATCAAAAGATTTCTATATGTGACATGGTACCAGAGTTAAGTTAGGGTTTTTCAAAATGCTGACACGCTGAGCTCAAAAGGTTCGCCATCACTGGTCTAGATGCTACTCATTGTTTTGACCACTGTAGCTTTGTAGTAAGGTTTGAAATGGAATTCTTTGTTCTTTTTCAAATTGTGTTCTTTTTCAAAATTGTTTTAACTATTCTAGGTTCTTTGCATTTCCATATGGATTTCAGAGATTGTCAATTTCAAAAGCTTGCTGGGATTTTGAGTGTGTTGAATCCATAGGTCAACTTGGAGAAAATGACATCTTAGCATTATGTTCTCAGATCAATGAACATAGTATACCTCTCTGTTTATGTAGGTCTTATTTCATTGATCCCAGCAGTGTTTTGTAATTTTCATTGAAGAGATTTTGCGCATCTTTTGGAGATCTATCACTAAATAGTTTATATTTCTTGAGGCTAATGTAAGTGGTATTTTAAATTTCAACTTCCAATTGTTTATTGCTATTATATAGAAACTAGAAGCCCAGTGTGCAAAATCGCACAGCCCCGCCCACCCACGCACACCTTGCTGTGCCCGCCCACCTGCCAGCTGCCAGCCTTGTTGCAATTGCAGCCTGTGGGCCGCGCTGCATGAGCCGAAATTACACAAGACCCCAGACCCACCGAGTGAGGCGAGTGAGGCGGGACCCCAGACCCCAGACCCGCTGCATGAAGCGGGACCCCAGACCTGCTGCCCAGACCTGGGCGAGACCCATCAATGCACCTCCTGGTGACTGGTTGTTTGGTCGTTACCGTGTTAGGGCCACAGGCTTTTTATATATATAGATAGATAGATACAGTCAATTTTAATATATTGATCTTAGATCCAACTGATCTCTCAGAGCACCCTATCTTTCCTGCCTTGTACTTACCATACTTGTCATTGAAATGTGCACTAAAGCAATGCCACGGGGGCTGGGACCATTGCTACTTTGTTTAGCCCAAACCTCTCAACATGCCCAATAAGTGGTAGGCACTCAATAAATGGTCTTAATGAGTGCTGGCTCTTTCTTTAGCTACATACATACCCTTCCATTCACCCCTAGTTTTTGTGAACAAACTTATAATAATCTTGGGTATTTCTCTTCCATTAGAATGGTGGTTTGATATTGTGTATTAAAATCTCCCCAGGTGATTCTAAAATATACTAATGCTTCAGCCTCATGCCAGCCTATTGAAAGCCACCTCTCGGGGTGTAGGACACAGGTATTTTTATATTTTTTAAAAATATTCCTTGGTGATTCTGATGTGCATCCAGAGTTGAGAAACACAGGCATAAAAAAACAGGCTGCCTGCATTCAGCCAAGTTGTAAAATAAAAACATGGATGGGCTTACCCTGGAAGGTCCAGCAGGTGAGATATAAGGAACCTCACATGGGGCTCCCCCCTACCCAGCCTCCTCTGAGAGTTGCACCTTGGTTTCTCTCGCACTCTCTCTGCTGCAATGGAGCAGGAATAAAAGAAGGAAACCAGACCAGAGTGGAAAGCATTTTCAAACTTTATTTACAACTGTCACAGTGACAAAAAGTAGTTTGGAAAAAAAAAAAAAGCTAGTTTCTCCCTGAGCCTCAAAAAAGAACAGATAGAAGTTACAGGAGGTTCATCTTACAACAGGCATGTTTACTGAAATACTAGTTTGTTTGTTTTTAGTACGATCAGTTAGAAATACACACAAGATACTTAAAAAAAAAAAAAAGAGGAGGCCAGACAGGAGCTCAGCCACTTGTCCTAGAGCGACTGGGTCCCCCCCAACAGGCACACCGCTGAGGGTCCTGACTTTAGCTGTCAGCCTCTGGCCTGCTCAGACTCCACATGGTCGTACAAAGGGGTCTAGCGACCAGCAAAAATAATAAACCACCCCCATAAACACACATATACACAAAGTAGATCTGTTATGCAGTTTACAAGCACGTTCCCATCACACGGACAGATGATACAGGGGAGCACATTGGAGGGGGACACGGAAACACAGGATTTTAAAAGGCAAGACCCCATCCACAAGGGAGGCACAGGATGAGAAATGCTGCTGTGAGGGAATGAGAGTGGGAGGGAAGGGTCTCTGCAGCCAAAACCAAAGGAAAGGGAGAGCAAGAGAGAAACACCCCCAGTGCAGGCTGCAGGCTCTCCCACTTCCTCGAGGAGCTGGAAGAAGTTATTGCCATCGATCGGTGTGAGTAACACAAGCAGTCAACACAGAGGAAGGGAGCAGGGGGCGGGATGGGAGAGTGTCGGCTGCCCAGAACCAAACCCTGTTGATGTATCAACAGCACACCCTGGTCCTCCTGCCCAACCTTCCCCAGAGCCACACTAACCTTGAGGTATTAAATACAACCTTTATGCAAGTCCAAACCCGGTCACCCTGGACTGACTGGACACCCAAGGGCTCACATGGGTGCCTCGCTGGGCAGAGTTCAGCCCCAGGGCTGCTCTTGAGCCCACCTCTTGGCAGCACCGTCTGCTCTGAGATAGAGATGAAGAGCGTCCTGCATTGTGCAGCTCCTGGTGGTTCTGAACTATAAGAAGCTCTAAGTCCAAGGCTAACCTTCTTGGGTAACTGTGCCCTTGCAGGGGACAGGCGGGAGGTGGGGAGTGAGGAGGACCATCGTTCCATGCTCCCTCGCCACGCCGTCCTCCCACCAGGAACGCCAGGGGAGAAGCCAGGGATCTCATGACACCCTTTAGTGTCAAACTCGATCCCCAGGCTGCTTGATCCCAACTCTGTGGCCAGGGGCTGGGAGGGCATGGTTAGGAGAGAGAGGGGCCAGCCTGGGAGAGCCCACCCACTCGCTCTGGGCCTCTGCTCAGACTGCGAGCAAGTGTGGAGGGGACCTTCATGTCCAAGTGTCCGCATCAGTCCCCCGACAAGAGCAGGAAGAACTCTCACTACTCCCAAAAGGGCAGGGGGGAGGATGGGGGGCAAG